TGACCTGGATGACCTGGATGACCTGGATGACCTGGATGACTGGGAATCTTCACCAGCACAGAGGTTTGGTTCTGGGTTTAGAGGCTGTGATCACTAATCTTCGTCACGCTGCAGCTCTTCCTCGCCTCTTTTAGCTCCTGATCCATATTCTGGCTGACTGACGCCGCCACACCTGGTTTCCGTAGAACCTTGGAGGCGTGGGGAGGATTTTCCTGTCAGTCAGGCAGCTGCTCAGGTGTAGAACCACACCTGCAGCTGCAGCATGCCTCTGATGGGGATGCAGAGTGATGGACCCGACCCGACCTGTAACGCTTCATTTTTACTCTGCCTGCTCAGAGCTCCTCCTCTGATCCGGTTAAAGGCTGTGACACATTGACCTTTGACCTCCAGAACCAAAACCTCATCTTTCCTCATAAACCAGGTTCTAGGAACCTTTAGGGACCCCAGATTGTTCCCTGTTTCAGTGTCAGACCTGCTCCCAGGCGGCAGTCTGAACATGCAGGGTGTTCTAACGTCTGCTCCTCCTGCTCCCCTCCAGGTGGGTTCTCTATGAGAAGCCCAACTTTAAGGGGGAGAAGATCGCCCTGGATGAGGGAGACACGGAGCTCACCTGCCCCTTCGGCTCAGCTGAGGAGAACGGAGGAACCACAGAGGAGCAGACGGAGAAGGAGCCGACCCGGAAGTTCCTCATCGGATCCGTTCGCAGAGCCGTCAGGGTGAGAGGGCTTCACTTTTCCTCTGCTTCTGCACAGACAGGGAGGGATGATGCTGAGGGCGAGGAGAGGCTGCAGCGCCATCTGCTGGGCAGGTTAGAGGAGGTCAAGCAGACTAGCAGATCTTCCTGGAGCTCCACAGGTTCTCTGTGGCTGTTAGGTGTTCATCAGCAGAACATTCTGAGGAGCTCAGACGGAGGGATGGTCAGAACCGGAACCAGAACCGGAACCAGAACCGGAACCAGAACCAGAACCAGAACCCTCCTGCAACTAGAGACAGGATCTCTCCTGGACTTCATCCAGAGGTTTCAGTCTGAAGGAGCAGAACTTCAGCCCAGTTCAAGGCCTGGTTCTTCTGGTTCTGTTTAGTTCCCACCCTGGTCTCAGTAGCACCACCTGGTGGCGCTGTTCTTTCAGCATGACCCAGTGAAAGGTTCCAGGTTCCGCCTGGTTCTGCTTGAAGCAGAACTTTACGTTCATTAAGGACAAAATAAAAGATCCTGTTTTCAGCAACAGAACATCTTAGTTTCGGGTCGAGTTGAAGAGAATCAACCGGTTCTGCTGGCTTCTCTTCCTCCTCATCACATGGTCCAATCAGAACCTTGGTTCCTCCACACGGTCCAATCAGAACCTTGGTTCCTCCACACGGTCCAATCAGAACCTTGGTTCCTCCACACGGTCCAATCAGAACCTTGGTTCCTCCACACGC